CAGGTTTGATCCCCAGCCCTGGTCAGGGTTGTGTGGGAGGCTGCCGGTCAGTGTCTCTCTCACATAGATATCTCTCTCTCTCTCTCTCTCTCTCTCTCTCTCCCCCCCTCCCTCCGTCCCTTCCTCTCTATCTAATAATCAATCAAAAATATCCTTGGGTGAGGATTAACAAAACAAAAAAAGATTATCTCCCAAACAAGAGGCCATCACCAGTCATTGCCCCATCTTTCAGAGATATCATAGACCATCAAGGCACACGCTGCCCGCGACTACTGAGCCATTCTCTCCACAACCGAAAGTCTCGTTCACTAGTGTAGCCCCAGGGCCTAACACAGTGCCTGGAACTTCACTTAACGAGCACTGGCAAATGCTTCTTAAATAAATAACTTTTTATGAACAAATGACTTTTTCCATTCTCACTTCAACTTGTGGCCCACAGAGTTGGGCCAATCCCTAAGTCTGTCAGACTAAAGTCTTGGCCCTGAAACTTGTCCTCTGGTCTGAGAAGACAGAAGAGAAAACCACAAATCAATTGCAAACGAATCCCATTCATCGATGGCACTCAAGATCTTCTGATAATTGTCCAATGACTAAAAACCTTTTCTAAAACATTTCACATCCCATTTCAATACATTATTTTGGTTGTATCACTAAAATCATGGCTTATACCATATTGAAATAAAGCAATAGCATACCGATTTATCATATTTTTTTATTTCTCACCCAATAGAAAATAGAGTTAGCTGCTCAGTTTTGATATATAATTGCCAGTGATACCATAAAAAATATGATATTCATGCTAGCACCCAGTGGGCAGTTTTTTAAAGAGTGCAACTGTCCCATCTTTAAAGTTAAAAAAATTAGTTTCTGCTTTATATTCAAGGCCCCTGTGGACTCACTGTACTAAGGCCAACAAACGTCACTGCATTGGCATTTAAATGGCATATACCTGAATGTCATCTGCATAGTTCGCATTTCAATGACCGAATGCAGTTTGTAATGGTTCCTTAAAAGTTCCGTTTTATTTTACCCTTAATTATTCAAAGTCACACTACTAAGAAACCTTCCACTCAACCCAAACTTTGTAGAATGCTATTGGTAGCAATCTGCCTCATGGTTTGTGGGGTACCTAAAAGTGAATTCGAATCATCTTCAAATTGTCTTGTTACTTAGGAATATAGCAGGTGAAGCACACAGCTGGGCTAATGAGGAGTGTTGTAATTGATCTCATGAGTTTCTCTTCCCCATATTCATTTTATTATTAATGATCCCTGGATTATAGGTTCAGTAGATATTTGTTAAACTAATCCACCCGTGGATGACATGACTAAGTTACATCTCTCGTGTAGTTCACCACACTTCTATTATTGCCTGGCATAACTCTCTATAACTCTCTATTATAGGTATTTCTCCCCACCCCCAAATTAATATATTTAATCTCTTCAGTTGATATATGGCATTTTCTCCTACATTTGCTGTATGACTCATTTTTTTCCTTTTCCCATCATGTCTGCTCTCTATGATGGAAATCACCAAGGAATGCAACTGGACATGACATTAAGCTTCATCAGAGCCAGAATGCTGTCCATAACTATATCCCCACAGTATGTGCTGTACCTGGCCCACAGAAGGTACTCACTAGATGAGTATTCTGAGTACATGAATGAATGAACGAACCAATAAAAAAAAGAACTGATGCTATAGGCCATGGAGGAACAAAAGAAAACAAGATAGATTAGTCCAAAATAAAAGGCCTTGGAAGAAGACTGCGTGGTGTAGTGTATGAACAGGTTCCTTACCTGTAGCACTTAAGACATCTGGATTTGTCTGGGGAGCAACTGAAATAATTAAGTAAAAAAGCTCCATGAAAATGGTAAAGTACTACTCAAAGACAGCATCTTGAATATGGTGACAAATGAATTGTGAATACTAAACTAAAGCTAGCAATTCAGCTACAGCATGGAATTGTAGCAATCACAGGGCTAACCCAGACAGGGGTGAAGTCAGTATTTACAGAATGACTTCCTGGCCCTGCTCTGGGCCTCACAGAACGGAGATGTTGAAAGACATTGCTGAACTTGGGAATCTGGAAGGAAAGCATTTTATTGCAAAGAACCTACAGATACAGAGCACTCTTTTTCTCGATTTTATTGTTTGATATTAAACCAATAATACAAAAACCAATATTTGCCCAGATAATGAAGTAAGAGCTTTTCATTTTTCAGTCACTAAGGTTAAAGCGTGTATACCCAGAAGAAATGAGGACAGGTCAGCCTCCTTTGGATTTGTGGATTCTTTCCAAAATTTATTCTAGACTACTTACTACTCCCTGGTGTGGTGACAGTTCACATCAGACTTGAGAAATGGCAAGTGGCCAGACACGGTACAGAGCAAATAAACACAGGTGACCTTTTTCCAAATCAGGGCATGCATTTCCACGTCCAATTCCAAAAAATAATTCTGATATGTAAGCACTTTACTTAGTGAGATTTTAGACATGGCCTTTTAACATATAATGCAAAGTAATTGTTGCATGGTTTTATTATACACTGACTATTCCAGGAATGCATTTACTGTGTAAATCAAGGCACAACTGTAAGATTTTTGTTCAAAACTTGACCAGAACTGTCCACCATTTCAGAAAATTATATCCAGTGACAACACTGGGATGATGTTGCCCATATAACACACACGGGTCTTCACTGGGAGTCATGAGTCTACATCCAGTGAAAGCATCTGATGACTTAATTCCACCTTCCAGGATGGTTGCACTCAAGCATTTTTATTACAATACATTTTATTTCATTTAAAAGTGCCTTTCATTTTTCTGCTTCATTTTACAGTTAGGGTACTGTGTTCATTGTTGACAAATATATATGCATATATGCACGACCAATGAGAAGAGAGTGATGAAGGCAGGGCTGCAGGGCGGTGAGAGCAGGGAGGGGGGTCAAGGGGGAAGGAGGAACATCTGTAGTACTTTTAATAAAGATAAATTTAAAATAAAAAAGTATATATGCAATAGAGGTCATATTAACTTTAAATTTCATTTCAAGAATAGTCAGAATAAAATATGTGTTTAAAAAGGGGACACTGGCCCTGGCTGGTTTGGCTCAGCAGTTAGAATGTGGCCCACAGACCAAAGGGTCACGGGTTCAATTCTCGGCCCTGGTCAGTCAGGGTCGTGCAGGAGGCAACCAATCGCTGCGTCTCTCACATCAATGTTTCTCTCTCTCCCCCTCCCTTCCATTCTATCTAAAATAAATCAATAGAAAAATATCCTCGGGTGAGGATTAAAAAAAGGGGGAGCATTGACCCTGGGAAGGTTAAGAGAACCACTAATCTCATCCAGCCTTCTCACTCTACAGTGAGCAAAGGCTCAGAGAGGTGAGCAACGTGCTCCAGGCCACAGAGTCAGCTAATGACCAAACTGACACCAGGTTCTCCTTACAGCACACTGCTCTGCTTCAAAGTGACAACTACATGCCCTGGCCAGTTTGGCTCAGCGGTTAGAGCGTCGGTCTGCGGGTCCGGAGAGACCCGGGTTCAGTTCCCGCTAAGGGCACGTGCTTCAGTTGCAAGTTTGTCCCCAGCCCTGGTTGGTCGTGCGGGTGGCAGCTACTCGATGTGTCTCTTCACGTCGATGTTTCTCTCTCTCTCTCCCTTTCTCTCTCTTCCTCCCACTCTATCTGTACAAAAAATGGAAAAATATCCTCGGGTGAGGATAAAAAAAAGTGACAACTACACACACAGAGTGGGGAAAATCAACCGCACACTTCAGGGTGAGTTGGCGACCATCAGACCCAAGAGCAGGGACTGAGGCCGTCTCCCCCTTGTCTCCAGGGACAGATGTTTTAGAGAAATTTGTTTTCCCCTGAAAAGCCTCCGGTGCGGGCTTGGGCCCCGAGCTGATGTGCAGTGCGCTGTGGCTGATGCAGTTTCTTTCTAAAAGGCACATGGCGAGAGCAGCGGTTTGTCAGGTTCACATTTAAGGCCAGCTTTAAAGTAAAAAAAACCCAAAAAACTAGAAAGACCATTGCTTATCGTGAGAAAGCTGCATTCCATCACTATCTTGAGTTTACAACAGTACTTCACAGTGAGGAACTTAAAGGATGTCCCCTCAATTTAAAACCAATAAACGGTGTCCCTAGTGTTAGGCCTTGAGTGTGGGTATTTTTAGTCAGAGTTCATAGGGGGTCTGAATTCATAAACAAGTAGGAGGAATAGGTAAAGGGCATGTCCCAGGTGGCTTTTATATTTAACACGTACATTAAAGCTGTATGAAACATTCCCAGGAGCTAAACACAAGGTAATTAACATTTATCTCAATGCTGGCTTCTATCCAAATCACTGCTCCCCATTTATGAAGCAAGAAAATTCTCTCATCTCAGTAACTTCGACATCCAGTATTCAGCTAATTCAGACCGGGCACCCGAGGTAGGAAGACAGGAGCGAGCCAATGACCTGCAGTCTCTTGACGCACCGTCATCTGGCCTTTATATTTAGCTGAAGTCACCATGACTGCTTCCATTCCCCAACCTGAGATTAGGGCTGTCTTCCAAACTCAAAAGCAAAATAAAACACCCAACATTGTTTGCAAGTTAAAGCTAATACCACCAACTACGATATTCATGATCAACTGATCAATTTGTAAAATAAAATCTCTCCTCTGTCTTTTGGACTCGGCATGCTAAAAGGTTATCCATTCTTGTTGATACAGTTGCCATATAAGGGCCTAGGACTTCAGGAGGAGAATCCTGTACTGATTAATGAACTCTGCTTTAAATGAATATGATCCTAAACACCTATGCAATCGTTTTTATCAAATTAATGGAATTTGTATCTATATAATTAAAAAAATGCAATATATCTGAAGTTACAAATGTGTTAAGCCAAAACATTTAACTCTCTGTGTGGAGTGATACACAGAATTGCCTTTTCACATTATCTTAAGTGAGGTGGGAGGCGGACCCAGCAGGCAGGCGGGCACCGGGGAGGCCGGCTGTTGCAGATGTACTGTGGCAAAGGAGCATGTCTGGTGGTTTCAAAACCCTGCAGAGAAAAAAAAAAAATCAGTTTGTTATGGTCACTTCTTAACGATTTCTTTTGGTAGGACCTAAATGAAGCAGGGTGCTTAATCTAGGTTTACATCCATAAAATCTCTCCATTAGAGGTTCCTCCTATTCACTCATGGGATCTGCTCAGGTACCACCTGCCCAGAAATGAAAGGTGTCAGGTGGGGGTACAAGATGTTCCCTAAGAAGCAAAACATTCATTTTGCTGCACATGCTGAGTATTTAAAGGAGCAGTAGCCCAGCTGGTGTGGCTCAGTGGTTGAGCGTCGACCCATGCACCAAGAGGTCGCCGGTTGGATTCCCAGTCAGGGCACATGCCCAGGTTTTGGGCCTGATCCCCAGGGTGGGGTGTGCAGTAGGCTGGCAATCAATGTTTCTATCTCTCTCTCCCTCTCCCTTCCTCTCTCTCTAAAATCAATTTTTAAAAAAAGAAAAGAAAAAAATATTAAACTACTGGCAGAAAAGTTTAAAAAAAGAAACGGAACATTAAAAAAGCAAAAGAAAATTGTTCTATCTACACCATCCCACTTACTTGGCAATGCACATCTTATTGGAGAAGGGCTCCGGCTTCGAGACAGCTGGAAAATATGAAAGCAGAATGGGAATTACACAGTAGATGGAGTTGGATGGATGAATCCTTTTGACTTTTTTCTTCTTCCTAAAACATCAGCTAAATAGTTGCTCTGAGACATTTTAGAACTATCATTTCCCCTGCTAAGGCTGAGCACTGTGTTTCCTTTTTCACTTCCTGAAGTAAGTGAGCACTCAATTTAGTTTAAATTCTATTATTAATTAAAAGTTGGGCCTAGTTTTCTGTTGCTTTTTGTTGTTGCTGTTTAATGGTTGCTAAATACTTTGAGATTGAATGCTTGGTGGTCATATTGAATTCAAAGCTTCCCAGAAAAGAATTATTAATTAATTAATTAATTAAAATTCAAAACGGTCAGCCCCGCCAGTGTGGCTCAGTGGACTGAGCATCATCCCATGGACTGAGAGGTCCCGGTTCCATTCCCAGTCAGGGCACAAGCACAGGTTGCGGGCTCAACCCCCAGTAGGGGGAGTGCAGGAGGCAGCCAATCACATCGATATTTCTCTCCTCCTTCTTCCTCTCTCTCTAAAAAATCAATAAAAACATATTGAAAACTCAAATGGTCAAATACTGTCTGGCAGATCCTTTATATGAATTACCTCATGTGTCCAGGAGAGTCACTAGGCAGCCAGAAAAATACTAATTTTCCAAATCTCACCTTTGCTTTCACTAAGAAAAGGCCACCACCTGAACCTGCAAACCTGTTACAGCTCAGAAATGACTGACTACAAGCATCACTCTTGCTCTGGGCTCTGAAACACATCAGTTAAACACTCACAAAGATGGAAGCTGTTCTGCATGCAAGACCTCAACTAAGCCAAAGACCAGAGTAACCAAAAATATTTGTATTTTATTTTGCAGGTGTACTAGTTTGGCTGGAAGGAGAGAATGAGGGAAAGGGACAGAACTGTGGCCACAGTTTCACCTTTGAGAATATATTTTATGCTTATCTAAAGTTTAAATTACTTTGTTCTCCCTGTGCACACAGTGGGAAGGAGAGAGGAGGTGGGTCAAACACACTGAGGGGCTCTTTACAGAAGGACGGTGCCCACTGATAGCCTTCCAGTGCATGTCTGGAGGTGAAATTTGCCATGGATGTCAGCACAGTAGATGCCTAATTGGTTCTTTCTTCTGATATGCCATTTCCTCTTAGAATGAGGAGAATTGTGATCCTTGCAGTATAAAAGTCTCAAGGTTTCCTTTTTATTTATCAGTCTACTAAATGCACTACTCTTTTGCTATTATTTACTGTAAATACTTAGTCCTGGATAAGGACAATTAAGTTATATTAAAATCTCCAAGAGGAAAGAAACTGTGTCAGAATCATGCCTTTCCCACTCTCTGTCCATTTCCTTCATCTAGACTTTTTCCCCCAATTTCCCAGCTCACTGAAATTCTGCCAGATGCAATACAACTCCCCTGGGCACCCCGTCCTCATCATTGAACCCGGAAGGTGTCTTACCTCCTCTGATTACTCTAGCACTGCCTGTTTTATGAACCCAATCATATACCACATTCAATTACTTTGTTTAAATTATACTTATCTTCCTATAGTGAAACCCATCCAGGGAAGAGATCATGTGTTGGTTATTTTTGTGTCCCAACGCCTGCCCCCATCTAAGATCCATCAGATGCAGAAGGGATGTTTGAGGAAGACATAATCAAACATAATGGAGTAGATGGAGCAACAAGAGATGCTCACCAAACTCAGTGAGAAAGGTGAGTGTTATTTCTGCAGGTGTTTTTGTTCATGTTTTGCTAGGGGACAGGGGTTAGAAGTTTGGGGCGAGGGCTACATCCCTAGGAGTGGACTGTTACCAAATGTGGTTCTCCTTCTCCACCACTTTCTCTAAAACAAGGTTGGGACAAATATTTTTAAAATTTTATGTGAAGGAACCACACATTGTTAGCTTGTCTGGTGTCCATATGTCTTGGTCCAACCTTGTATCCAAAAGGCATTGACTAAATATTATTTGCTGAATAAATAAACAGTGATGAATCATAACAATGTTTTTAGTTTTCAGAGATGTTATTGCTACTATTTTTTTTTTCTTTGACAGAAGTATTAGTAATCCTCCCAAGAACAAATATAAAAGACTAATCTCATTCTTCCCACTTTGAGATTGGGAAGAAAATTAATGCCTGCAGTGCCCTTTATACAGTACTGAAACCCAGACCATTTGCTCAATTTCTCCAAGTCACACAGTATGTTCCAGAGGCAGCCGGGACCTGTGCTGAGATCAGTCGACTAAGGTGTCCCGTTCTCTGTTCAGAAGGATAACTGATCTCTAAAAGCCCATTTTCTTTCAAAATAAAAATAAAACTATGAAATAAATAAAGTCTATTCATCTTTCAACTAATTCTGAAAAAAAAACAGCCTCTACTTCTTCTTTCTAGATGATCAGTTCCTTAGTCCAAGGTAGTATAAAACCAGCTTGGGCTATTGCGACAGGTTCTCTTTCTACCTACAGACTTATAATCACCTCTTTTATAGGCTACCGTTGACTTAAAAAATGTCAACCATAGGATGATTTTGTGCAAAATGATGAGATATGTACCATGCTTAAACCAATATGGCTACGGGGACAGATAGGACTTAAACTCCTGCTTCGACTTCGGCTTACAGGTCGCACCGAATTCCACTACAAAGAGAGAGAAAGGAAAATAGTCAATAGCTCATGAATGCTCACATGGCTTAGACACAAAATGCATAGCCCACAGATAGAGGTTTTGCTGATAGGATTACACTTGCCCATTACCAATCATCAGCATGAGGTACACTCCTCTCATTTACTCTAGCTGGCCCATATTTGACAATACTTTAGGGTATTTCTCAAATAAAATCCCATTACAATGAACTTTGGGATATTCAAATTCTTGGTGCTAGAATTTTGTTTTGATGAATAAGTTGTTACAAATCACATTCAGTTTGCAATGTGGAAGAATGTACGCTCCCTGTGGGCAGGGATTTCAGTCTGTTTGGTTCACTGCCAAACACCCTGCACTGGTCATAAATGACTACAGAATAACTATTGTTGAAAGAAATGAATTGAGTGACTGAGTAAATCAGCATTGCTGCCCACCTACTCTTTAATTAAATTAATCAGTAAAAAGAAAACTATATTCATTATAATGAAATTTCACTAGTAAAAAAGCCTTCTAAAAATGTTCCTTTCAATCAACTCTTTCCTTCTTCAAGTTCTTCCCTTTAAGGGTATACTCTTTTGTATCAGGAGTTTAAGCTTGGGCAAATGTTGGTGACATGCTTGATGGGAGAGAAGGAAATTAAAAGGCAGTTGCTGTTTGCTGTAGAACACAATAGTGGCTGTTTCTTCTCCTTCCCTTCTAAATCGTCCTGCAGACAGTCCACAATATTTTCTTAACAGAGGGTGATTATTGTAGGGGCAAGAGCATGTTTTATGAGCACATTGGTTGTATATCGGATATAGCTGTCAGATCAATACAATCCAGTTTCTATGGGATCAACTTTCATTGCACAAAGTATTTTACTGAGATAAAGTTAGCTAAAGTGGGCTGCTTCCGCTCCAAAATCCCTTGTCTGGAGTTCTGTTAAAATACACTCTTCCCTTCTCCCCCTACATGGGTGAGTGCTGCCATCAAGCACATCCCGTTCTCCAGCTCAAAGACAGCAGACACTGAAACCACCCATGGTGGCTCTGATCTGGACTGAGAAGCTTCACTCCAGAATTTACTGTCTTTCTAGGAAGGGCGGGGTCAAAACTCCATAATGTTCATTCTACAAAATGTCCGAGCACTCGTGGCCACCAGTTCCAGTCCCCAGTCCCCAGTCCCCACTCTAACACACACCCACACTTGCATATCTAAGACTCTATTTTGAAGGCTGCCCAATTATTTAACAGATTAAAAACATTCTACAATCACTGTACGCAGGAAGCGACATTCCAAACGGATTTGTTCCTCTCTCCCCACCTCCTCTGCCTGGTTTTCCCCATCCCTCCCCTCTCCACACATCATATCAAGGAGAGGAAAATGGCACATTCGTCGTTTTCCAACATGGAGAACTGTCAGTATAACTTTGGCAAACTGTTATCTGAAAGTTAATCATTTTTAAATGCTTCGAGTTACAGAGAGCCTCCCACAAGGTGAGCTCAAAAGGTTTGGCCCTTATAATAGCTTAATGTTTCTAAGATGGGGGAGGCAGGTAGGACAAGTTCTATCTTATAAATAAAGCAACAGGCACAGAAATTAGTGCCAGGAAATTATAAAGAGACATGGACAAATCAAAGAAAGGAATGTGTTCCTTCCCAGCCAATCCCTTTCCTCTCCTTTGTATGAAATCTTATCAAGCAACTTTTTATGAACTTCTTTTATAGAATCTCTGGGTTTATAAATATTCTCGAACTTGTGAATCAAACACTTGGGATGAAATGTCACTATGCAAGGCCACCGTACAAAAGCCCCTCTCTTGGTGACAGCTTCTCCCTTCATAAGGACAATGTCATTCTCCATGAGGGCAGGCCACACGTGATAGAAGACCAAGGGTGCAGTGAAATCGGAATCATAGCTGCGACGGTACCTATGTTAAACACACAAAAGGAGATAGAGAAGTTAAGCAATTATGTAGCATAACAGGGGGGTGGGGGTATCAGTGTAAATTTCCATTTTGATTATGCTCAGATCTAGATAAATATGGATCCTGATTCTGCTATTAAAGAGATGGTTGTGGGCTGTTAGAATAGGAGCCAGTGATAACGAGGACCTGCATGAACTCACTAAGAACAAGCCATGTGAGACTAATTTTGTCCTTCTCTTCTCTGATTATAAGAGTTGCAATCCAGGGAAATTCTAGAGACCATGTGAAGTCCCATAGGGTTCCAACAGGAATTCTCATGCTATCTTTGTGGACAAAATAGGAGAAATACAAGTGAATGATTCACTTAAGTAGTTGGGTTGGAAACTGCTTCAGTGATCATATCCAAAGGGAGGTAATGAATGGGTCCGTGAGAACATGAATGAAGGTGCGAGGGGCTCTCTCAATCCTGTGATAAACCAAAGTATGCATCAATGATCTGCATGAAATATAGAAAAATCTATAAAGGTAGGGGTGGGTCAGAAAAAAATAACAGATGACAGTATCAAAAAATAGCTCGACTGGCTGGAAAAAATAAGCTGAATCTAGTAAGATACCATGAATGTGGATCCTATGGGGTCCTGCAATTGAGTCTAAAAAGCATTTAACTACAAAGTTAAAGGTACTAAATGTACAGGCATGGCCCAAGTAAAAATATAATAATAGAGAAAAAAGGGGCAGATGAGGTGGAGAGAGAGAAGCCAATCAATTTTCGAAGGTTGCTTCCTGTGTACAGTGGTTGAGTGAACAGTGTGATGGCTGGGGGGAAAATGAGCTGAATTAATAGAGAATAAGAATGGAAATGGTGTCAGTTCAAACCCGGGGACTACATTCAGTGTGGACATTTTCTTTTAAAAGAATGCTCAGAAGAGCATGGAGCGCAGGCCAAGGAGCAGATATATTTGTCAAGAAGTCTCCACCCCTACCCCCTTCATGTGGAACAAACCTGAAGGCATGAGGCCAGAAGAAGAATTCGAGTAATTGCTTTTAAATGTGCGAAAGGCTGCCAGCATTTGTGTTTTGTTTTGTTTAAAAATTATTAGACTTGTGCTGTGGAGTCCTAGAGGTAGAACCAACTCCAATCATTACTAGGAACTCCAGTTTCTACTCCAAAGCCAACCAGGAGTCCAGTCCCCAGAGAGCCCCAGAGGCTGCGTGCTCCTTCTGATTAAAGGCTGCAAGCAGGAGGTCTGCCAGAGGTCTATGAAATGTGCAGATTCCATAAACCAAAATGGATGAATAGTTCTTCCTTTTTTTGTTGCTTTCAATCCTCAGTGAGGATATTTAGAAAGAGGAAGGGAGTCCTGGCCAGTTTGGCTCAGTGATAAGACCATCGGCCAGTGGACCAATGAGTCTCGGGTTCAATTCCGGTCAAGGGCATGTACCTCGGTTGTGGTTCATCGCCGGCACTGGTCAGGGTCATGCGGGAGGCAACCACTTGATGTGTCTCTCTCACATCAATGTTTCTCTCTCTCTCTCCCCCTTCTTCCCTCCCACTCTATCTGAAGATAAATAAAAAAATATCCTCAGGTGAGGATTTAAAAAAAAAAAAAGAAAGAGGAAGGGAGAGAAAGAGAAACATCAATGCAAGAGAAACATCAATCGGTTGCCTCCCATATGCGCCCTGTTCGGGGATAGAACCCACAGCCTAGGTATGTACCCTGACTGGTAATCGAACCTACAACCTTTTGGTGTACAGGACAATGCTCCAATCAACTGAGCCACCTGGCCAGGGAAGTGGATGAATATTTCTGAGTGGGACCATGTACCCTCTAAAGGAAAAAGGGATTTTTAAAAGAGGGATGCAGATATGTTGTTTAAGAGAATCGAAAAGGTCCAGCTGCTGTGTAATGTTCTAATATTCAGCTCTTCCTTGAGTGGACGCACAGCAGGAGCAGTGATCTGAAAGAAGCTAGAAACAAGGCAATGGCAAGAAAATATGACTGCCTGAAACACCATCACTGTGATTTTCATAAGCTCAGGAAAGGTACATGATCTCTATCATCAACAAGTTTATAGGAATATGGGGCTGCCACCAACCCATCGCTCTGTGGCCTGAACAAAGACCCAGAGCTAACATTTCCTGAGTATACATGATATGCCAAGAAGTGTCCTTAAGTACTTGATCTGAATGATCTCAACCAATCTTCTCCAGAAGTGGGGATTAATATTTTCCCCATTTGACAGAGAGGAGACTAAGGAACAGAAAGAATAAGCAACATGCCCAGATTGCCCACTAATTAGTTCTGGAGCCAGGATTGGAACCCAGGTAGCTTGACACCAGAGCCTCTGTTCCTAACCACTTGGTCGCCTCCAGATAATCTCCAGCTGTATCATAAGATCTCATAAAATTTCAGTAAAATGTGACAAATTAATTTAATTTCTTCTCATTTATACAGGAAATGTTTACCATGTAATACTTGGTAAAACCCTAATGGTCCTAGATAAAAACGCCTATAACAGTCGTTTTCAAGTGTAAGTGTGCATAAAGGACACTTGGGAGCTTGTTAAATTACAGATTCCTAAGCCCACTCCAGACTGACTGCATGTAATAGCATTGAGTGTGATCCAGGAATGTGCATTTTTAACAAATATCTTGAGCAATTCCGATGCAATGATCTATACACCATACTTCAAGAAACCCAGCCTAAATAATGCAATAGAAACCAATAAAAGCAGCAACAACAACAAAAATCTGATTTAAAAATGGGCAGAAAAGAATGTATATGCATATTTGCACAACCAATGGACACAGACATTAGGTTAGGAAAGCAGGAGGTGGGAGGGAGTGGGGAGGAGGGTTCGATGGGGGAAAAGCAGAGACATCTGTAATACTTGCAACAATAAAAAACAAACAAACAATAAAACTGGACAAAGAATCTGAATCAACATTTTTTCCAAAGAAATACAGATGGCCAACAGGTACATGAAAAGGTGCTCAACATCATTAATTATCCATGAAATTCAAATCAAAACCACAAGGAGATATCACCTCACACCTGTTAGAATGGCTATTATCAAAAAGAAATAAGTTTTGGTGAGGATGTAAAGAAAAGGAAACCCTTGTGCACTGTTGGTGGAAACATAAGTTAGTGCAGCCAACAGTATGGAGGTTCCTCAAAAAATGAAAAATAGAGCTACCATATAATTCAGTAATTCCACTTCTGGGTATTATCTGAATAAAACAAAAACATGAATTTAAAAATATATATATGTATGCCCATGTACACTGCAATATTATTTACAATAGCAAAGATATGAAAATAACTTAAGTATCCATTGATGGATGAATGGATAAAGAAGATGTGATAGGTATATACAGTGGAATATTACTCAGCCATAAAAAGAGTGAAATTTTGCCATTTGCAACAACATGGATGGACTGACCATAAGGGCATTAGCTAAGAGATATAAAACAGACAGAGAAAGATAAATACCATATGATCTAAAAAAAACAAACAAAAATCAATCTCATAAATATAAAAAACAGATTGGAGAGGATTCCAAAATGGCGGCAGAGTGAATGGAAGATACACAGACCGTCTCCCAGGACCAAACTGGAATTACAACTAAAATAAAGACAAATCATCGGGGAAAAGCAACAGAAAAGCAGCTTGCGAGGACCATATAACCAGGGACACTGACTCGAATCTGGTAGGGTTGTAGAGGCGCAAGAGGGATCTGGGAGCCCACAGACAGCAGCGGCCTTAGCTGTGAGCAGCGCCCTCGGGTTACACTCCCAGGCGGCTCCACAGCTCAGAGCCGGCACAGATGCTAAAATAGCCACAGCCACTCACCTTGGGCTCCGGCAGAGGGAGGGCAAACTGGACTGGAACTGTGTGGGGACACTCAGGACTTGGAGGGCACTCAGAGCTTTTGCTGAGTTGTAGCCACGCAAGACGGTGGCCATATTGCTCCTTCCCAGGGCTCTGGGGAGAGGCAGGGGCTCCTCCCTCGGAGATTCAACCCCACCCAAGTGGACCATTGAAATGCAAATTAAGGCTCATTAACAACCAGTATCTGCCCCACCCTCAAGAAATTCTCTTACGCTGAACACCTGCGGGAGTTTTTCATTCAACTGAGAAGCCAAGGCTCTTCAAGGAACCACTACTAATAGCCTCCAGGCAAAAAGCTAGAGGATAACTGAACCATTCCTGGGCTAGCAACTATAACTAGAAAAGTAAGACTTGACAGTGGTGTTTAACGTGGTTCCTCTCTCGCTCATCCAAACACAGGAGAGGGAGCCACAAACAGCAGAACACCAACACCCACAAGAAAAATTTGGCAGGCTCCAAAGCCCACTGTGATAGCCAAAATGGTGAAACAGAAACAAAAGCCAAATGAAAGAACAAGAAACCTCTACCAAAGATGAGATAAATGTGGAGCAGTTAAGCAAGTTAATGGAGCTAGAATTCAGAGCCATGATCTTGAGAAAGCTCAACAGCATGAGTAAGGACATCAACACCATGAGTAAAGACATAGAAATGTTGAAAATCAACCAATTGGAAATTAAAAACCACCAAGAAGAAATCAAGAATGACATATCAGAAATGAAGAACACATTGGAAGGTCTAAACAGCAGACTAGAGGAAGCTGAGGACTGGATCAGTGAATTAGAAGATAGGGCAGAAAAAAATCAACCAATCAGAAAACCAAAAGGGAAAAACAATTAAAAAACAGGATGACAGCCTAAGAGAACTGTGGGACAAATGGAAATGTAATAATATTCTCATCTTAGGAGTCCCTGAAGAGGAAGAAAATGGGCAAGGGTTAGAGAATGTATTTGAAGAAATAGTGACAGAAAACTTTCCTAACTTGGTGAAGAAAGAAGGCATTCAAGTTCAAGAAGTACAGAGAGCCCCAAGTAAGAATAACCCAAACAGGCCCACACCAAGACACATAATAATTAAAATGCCAAAAATTAAAGACAAAGAGAGAATCCTAAA